AGAAACTATTTGCCTAATGGAACTCAATTTTTCTCATATTCAAACTCACATAAATTTCTCTTCCATTGAGTTCAAATAAAACATTTTGTCTCTTGATTTTTATGCATGCATTTACTTCATTCTCATTGACAACTATAAAACATACCACATTACTTGTTTTGACTTGTTTCAAGAAATTCAGAATCAGGAGAAATTTCAAACTGTGCTAATTACAGTCATTACTCAGTGACTGCAGAGAACTGGCTCTAGGATTCCTCCACATGGAGGAAACCCACATCCCTTATGTAAATTGGTCCAGAATTTGCAAGTAACATATTCATATCCTCCCATATACTACTTTAAATCAATTTTATATTACTTATAATACTTTATGCAATGTAAATTGGTGTTATACTATGTTACTAAAGTAATAATGCCTAGGAAAATAGCCTACACATATTTAGTAGAGATGCAATTTTTAGCCAAAAAACATAATTTAGACCCTTGCTCAGTTGAATTCATGTATGTGGAAACTACACGTATAAAGGTAAGACTATATTTCATCATTTTTGCCTACAAATTACAAACCTTCTAATTCTCATTTATTAATATTTTCTATGGTTATATTGACTGTTGTTTTATTTATACATGTATGCAATGTATTTTGTTACATATCACAAGTCCTTTGCTAAGTATGGAGAAATTTATGAATAAAAGGTAGTGACAATAATTATGGAGCAACTTACCAGCACTCATGTATAATCTATTTCAAATACAAGTTCATCATGTTTAATAAATACCTCTAATTAAATTATGAAAAACTGACCTTCCAATAATTTTGAAAGGCATATTTTCTAATATATTCTTATATATATTCAGAATCTAAATGTGTAAAATATTTCAAATTTCATTACTAAAAACTACCAGAAAAAAGAAGACTTAGGATATCAACCAGCATGAAATGTACAGATAATCATATTGTTTTCTTTTTGATCCTCTCAGAGTTTATATACTTGTCAGTTGCTTTTCTGGAAGTTAGTGTGTCATTTGGTACAGAAGATAGAAATTTTCTGGGCACTATAATTTTTCTGGGCATCATAAAAGACTTTAAATAGGTACCTAACATAATGAATATCTGTCTACTTATCTCATCAGAACTATGGAAATGAAATTGCTTCAGGAATTTGGCTGACCAATAGTCACAGTACTTATAAGGAATGGCATTTTAAGAGAGAATTTTTTAAATTCTTAGCACTATATGAGACTGAGAATGATGAAATGAAAAAATTGTGAAAATTTAGAAATACAAATTGCATTAAATGTTCCCAAACTAATGTAGTTGGGTGGTTGGAAGAATGATTGCTTTCATATATGCTTGTGAGTTGCAAAGGTCCCAGAGAATGTTTTTGAAAGCATATTTGAAAAATCAAAGGAACTGGATCTTCAGACAGAAAGGACTTCGGAGTGCATTTTACTCTGTCATCCTGATGATGTACTCAAAAGATGGGCCATGTAATGGAGTTGTTAAAATACATAACCATGGACAAAAGAGCAGAGATAAATTTTAGAGTCTAATATTTTTAAACGAGTTCACCAGTACCATGTACCTGCAGCACTACTATTATGAGTTCATGGTATTCATTTGCACCAGCATCCGCTCTGAATTTCTACTTCCCATTCCTATGACACACAAAAAAACAAAGAAAAGTACTTTGGAGTTTTAACAGGGATTTCTTTTCTTTTTTTGGTACTGGGGATCGAACTTGGGACCTTGCGCTTGTGAGGCAGGCACGGCACCACTGAGCTAAATCCCTGGCCCTATTACTATGCAGTTTTAAACAGATAATTCTTACTATAGCTGCAAAAGCTGTAAAATTAAAATCTAGTAACTCTGAGCAGATAACAAGGTTTCCCAGAGCACATTATTTTTTTTCACTTATAAAAAGTTTGAAGTCAGGTTTACCAGTGTACACCTACAGTCTCAGGTACTCAGAAAGCTGAAGCAAGAGGATTACTTGAAGCCAGGAGTTCAAGGCCAAATTTGGCAACATAGAAAGACTTTATCTTAAAAAGAAAAGGTGTGAAGTTAAAATGTGATTATAGATCTCAAAAAGTCAATATGAAAATACATATGGAAGTGGATAAAAGAAAATGGTAGTGAGTTATTATTTCTCTGATCATGAAAACACATGGAAATTTGTTATATTTTTGAGCACAGTAATAATATTTCCATAAAATATTGAGTTTAGTCTTTTCCCATCCATTATCTCAATTTGTTTTTTACAAAAGCTGCAAGTTAGATGTATAGTTCCAGTCGGTCTGCTATAACCAAAATAAGATAAACTATATGGCTTGTAAACAACAGAAATTCATTCTTCACAGCTCTGGAGTCTAGGAAGTCGAAAAGGAAGGCATCAGAAAATTCAGCGTCTAGAGAGGACCCACTTCCTGGGACACAGTTGCCCCCATGTTGACAGGCATCTGGTATTTCCCTGGAACCCTATGACAAGGGCACTAATATTCATGAGGACTCGACCTTGTGGCCTACTTATCTTCCCAGAGCTCCACCTACTAATATTTTCACTGCCAAGTTGAGACTAATGACACAAACATTCAGACCATAGCATTAGAGAAAATAGGCAATTTTTCCCCAGGGACAGTAACCCCCTTTATGTACAGTTTCACTTTCTGCAATTTCAGTTACCTGAAGCCCACTGTAGTCCAAAGATATTAAATAGAAAATTCCAGAAGTAAATAATTCATAAGTTTTGTGTGCCACTCTGAGTAGAGTGATAGACTCTCTCGCCATCCTGTTCTGCCCCACCTAGGATGTGAATCATTCCTTTGTGTATCCACACTGTCTTCCTGTTAGTTACCTGATAGCCACCTCAGTTTATGAGGTCAACTGTCTCAGGTGACCCTTATTTTACTTAATAATGTCCTCAAAATGCAAGAGAACCTATAAAATGATTTCTCTTAAAAGAAAAGATAAAGTACCTGATTTGATCACTTTTTATTGCATTCATGTATGGAAATATCACACTGTACTCAATAAATATGTATCATTATTAAATATTAATAAAAGTTTGGCTGGGGATTTAGCTCAGTGGTTCCACCGCCTGCCTCGCAAGCCCAAGGAACCAAGTTAGATCCCCGGTACCCCCCGCAAAAAAGTTTAATGTTTAAGAAGATAGCAATTTGAACTCTTCTAGTTAATCATTATGTACATACTATACAAATTATCACACTATACCCCATAAATTTGAAAGATAAAAATAAAATATATTTTTAAAGATTTTTGAGATGCATATAACTTTTATTCAAGTATAATTACTGTTTTACTAGTCATTATTAATATCTTACTTGCCTATCTTACAAATCAAACTTTATCACAGATATATACATAAAGGAAAAGAATATATTGTTTAGTACTGTCCTAATTTCAGGCATCCTTAGGGGGTGTCTGAATGTATCCCAGGCAGATAAAGGTGGACTGCTGTAAGAAAAAACACATTTACAGATGAGAAAAGAGGGTTTTGAGTCTAAGTAAATTGTCCAAAGCCAGTGACTGAAAGAACTTATTGTATCATGCTGTCTAATCTTTATATAGCTAGCAATACAGATATAAAATACACTGACATTTTCAGTCATGTGGGAACTCTTGTTTGTGTTATATGAAAATAAAAAGATTTTCTGGGATAAGAAAGAGAAAACCTGATGCAATCATTTCTAAGATTCAATATACAAGATGCCAGAATCTGATTATACAAGAGTTGAATGTAAAGTGATAACTTTTTATTTTTTCCTTTGGCTATCTGTGTTGTAAATGAAATAAACAGAATCTAATGAATAAACATTTGATAACATTGTGGAAAAGAAAAAACATATATATTTGACATGATTTGTTCAAAATCAATGATATTTGATATGGGTAATGATCAAAGATTATTATTCATAAAATAAAGTACAATCTGTTAATAGAAGTTTGGAGCAATGAGGCAAAAAAATAGAGAGAGGAAAGGATAGTTTAACTAAAACTTTCTAACTTTATTTCTTTTCATTTCACTTCAATCTCATTTCTTGGCCTGCTTTTCATATGCACACTTTCTGAGAGACTTGATAGGTGCTTAGAATACTGATAAGTAATTTTAAAAACAAAAATTCTTTATGTGATTATTGGAGGAGGTATGAAAAGTACCTTTTTTCAGTGACCAACCTATTGAATGTATTCAGTGTCCATCACACACGTACATTATCACATGCAAGCACCCTTAATAAGCTCAAATTTTGATGTCTCTCTTTCTTAAAATGAAGATATCCATTGTATGGATGCAGATAACAAAATGAAAATCAACAAAATTATCAGGTACAGACATTGTTGAAGTTTAAATCAAAAGCAAAATGTAATTTGATATAGTGTTGAATGTATAAAACCAAGATATATATCCTGGTTAATCTGAATTCTCAAGTTTTGAAGTAGACAATAAGCCATCCCACCCAAAATTATCATGTGAACATCATTTGCGAGTAAGTAGCCATTCTTGGGTGGGAGATAATTCTAGTTTAAAAAAGAAATCCTAAGATACACATTTATTGGAAATTTTCACATTTTTATTCTGCATTGGAATGGACCATCATTATATGTCCTGTGTTCCACTTGTTCCTGGAAAATTCCAGTCCCTGAGGCCACACCGTACTTTGTCACTGCCCTCTGCTCCTCTTATGCCCTAAATTGAATCTACCCATGGCAGCACCTCATCCTCTTGCAACAAAACTCCTAACCTTTGTCAAGAAATTTATTTTTCTAAATGACTGCTAAGTTTTAACAGGGGTTCCTAAATCTTACTACTAATAATTGGAAGAGTATTTAAAATGTCATGGATTTCTTTGCAAGAATTTTACAGATTTATTTGCTATCAATTTGGATTTCCTGTACTTTTATTGCAAACAGCCTGCAACTTTGCCATCATTCTTATGTCTCAAACTAATGAACTATACCTGTCTTGGCCTGTGTTTTACAGAAGCAGATGCAGAGATGAAGTATATTTGCACAGAATTTCCTGAAGTACTCTCAGGAGAGACTAATTACAAGTCTGGAAGCAGCAGAAAAATATTGTAAAGAAGCTATCAAAGGAACAATTTCAGGTTCAGTGGTAGCCTCAGTCAGTCTTCTGGGGAGCTCTAGAAAATAAATTATACTTTGAAATGCAAAGGAATGTGTTGTTGTCTTTCTTTTTTTTTTTTTTAGTAGCATATTTCCAACTCAACTTACAAAAGTCATCCTCTGAAGTTGGTAGAGTTGAGAAATTAGCAGTGAGAATTCAGAACCCAGGGGATGGTGCTTGTAAATGATGCTTCAAAATCTCAAAACATTACCAGCAGTGTCACCTGTGATACCTTATTCTTCTTGACAGCATGAATATGTGATTATTCAGCTACATCTGATTCGCATTTTGTTTATTCCCCTTTTGCATCTCTTTTTACATTTAAAGATATTCTCATGTATTGTAAAAATGATTCTCTACAGATAATCTTTATTTATTCTCATCATATTTTACTTCACATACACACTCCCACTCCACTTCTTTAGTAATTCCTTAAATGACAAAGTATTTGGAGATCATATTCTGGATAAAAGAGAATATCAGTACACAAAATTACAGGTCAGTGATAAAAACTTATGTTTCAATCTATTCCTTAAATTATTTAATCTGTACACTAGAAATGATAATTGATTCTGTCTATGTTTAAGCCTGATCTTGTTTTGTGATTGAAGAGAAAATAAGTAGGCATTTCCTTATCTATTAAAATATATATACAATCCTGGGGAAAATTTCAGAAATGTCCCAGTAGTATACAGTTCTCTCAACCCACACTGACAACTTCCTTCTCTCTCAGTCTTTACGATGGGGAAACTTGGAATGGATATTTGAATAGTCAATAATTTCAAATAAAGAAAAATGTGAACCAAGCAAATTAATGAGAGGGAATATATCATAAAAACAAGTTTCTTCTTTTGAGTTGTCCCTTTGAATCTAAAGAAAGAGGCTCCTCGGATCTGTGCAAACATTCCCAGAGCAATAGTCCAATGCTATGGTCACAAAGTAGGTAGATAATTCATCGGTGGAGCAGGCTGCATCATTAAATGTCATTTGTTGAAGACAAAGTAACATTCATCAAATTGCATTTGAATTATAAGATTGCTAAATGTCTTTTCACTTGCATCATTTGCCAGAAAATAAAATGGGTCAAACCAAAAAAGAACGAAATTCTCATAATTTGGCTTTCCTTAGCCTATAACAGAATAAAAGGGCTATATTTTAAAATCAGAGCATATTGATTAAGTACAATATCATAATTTCAGGAGGATATTGGTCATTACTTCAAATGAAAATAAATACAATATGAAGAGTATTGTTTGTTCATTTTGAGCTTCAAGTGATTACAACTGAATAAAAGTTAATGTGCCTTGCCAAAGGTTACTTACACAGTTCTATTTCAAAAGAAAAAAATATTATATGTGCTTTTGGAAAAATGTGAGACATATGAACATTTTTATAATTTTTCACAATAATCACAAGTGCATGCCTCTTCCTTGTACTGCCCTCTATGATAGTAGATTTTGTATGCATCTAGTAATGAATAAACTTTCAGCTTCTAAAGTCTAAACAGCTCTATTATGCCCTCATTTATTTTTATAAAAGGATAATTGACAATCCAAAGCAAATATTTCTGTAAGGAAGTACAAACAAAAATTTTTAGCAGTATAATGATGTCTTCTATTTTGTAATCTTGTTTGCACAGGCACTAATAAATGCTCACAATATTAATTATTTTCTATCAGAGAATTAGGGCTGGGCAAGATTTTGAAGATACAGAGCCTACTCTTGTTCTAATTCTAGGTTAAAAGTTTTAGAAGAGGGCCGGGGATTTAGCTCAGTGGTTCCACCCACCTTGCAAGCGGGAGGATCCGAGTTCGATCCCCAGTACCAAAAAAAAAAAGAACTTGTTTATTTGGGCTGGGGATTTAGCTCAGTGGTTTCGCCGCCTGCTGTACAAGCATAAGGACCGGAGTTCGATCTCTGGTACCAAAAAAAAAAAGAAAAGAAAAGAAATCAATCCAGCAGCTGCTAGATGATGCAAAGAAGAATAACATAAGACATCGGAGTCAATGAAGAAACAGGAAAG